CTCGCCGGCTGCTCCCAAGGGGCGACGGTGGGGGGGGGCTGCCCCGGTGGGGCGCCGCGGGACATGTAGGGGGGGGGGAGGGGCGCCGCGGATCTCTCTCTCTCTCTCTCTCTTGTTCTACATCGGTCCACCTATGCATACATCATTACATACATACAGACATACATACATGCATGCATGCATACATACATATATGTATATGTATATATATATATATATATGTACATTTATATGTGCCTACATACGCATACATACATCCATACATGCATGCATGCATACATGCATGCATACATGCACGCATGCATGCATACATACATACATGTATGCATGCATACATACATGCATGCATGCATGCATGCATGCATGCATACATACACAAATGCATGCCTGCATGCATGCATGCATACATACATGCATTCATACGTACATGCATGCATACATACACACGTGCTCTTATACATACATACACACATACATGCATACAGGCATGCATACATACATACATCCACACATACATTTATGCATGCATGCATACATGCCTACATACCTACATACATACATACATACATACATACATACATACAGACAGGCAGGCAGGCAGACAGGCAGGCAGACAGACAGACAGACAGACAGACATACAACCAAACAAACATACATATATATATATATATATACACAAACATGTACATACGCCCATTCATACACACATACATGTGTGCATGCATATATGAATGCATACATACATGCATACATAACTGCATGCATACATACATGCATGCACACATGCATACATGCACAAATGCACACACACATACATACATACATACATACATACATACATACATACATACATACATACAGACAGACAGACAGACAGACAGACAGACAGACAGACAGACAGACAGACAGACAGACATACAAACAACCATACATAAACGCATACATCCATCCATACATCCATACATACATGCAGGTATCCATCCAGAGCTCCATAGAGCTCGTCATCAAGAGCTCCATGGACCGCCGAACCAACATCGTCTGGAAGTGCGCGCTCTCAGCACTGCCGGGGCGGGTCGTACTGAGAGGGGGCGTCTCTAGGACCCTGGGACCCTGGGCTGGCCTCCTACCCCTCCTCGTTCTAGCTTGGCCTCGCGCGCGCCTGCGGAGGAGCACGTGGTCCAGGAGAAGACCACCGACGACGACGACGAAGACGAAGACGAACGACGACGGCGGCGAGGACGACGACCGACAACGACGACGACGCAGCAGCGCGATCGCTGACGCCGACGACGGTGGTGGCGGCAGCCGGCACCCGCGGAGGGGGGGCGGAGTAGTACTAATCCCGCCAGCCCTCTGAGCGTGAGTGGTTTAGAGAGTTTCCTCTTCCAGCTTCCCTCATCTCATTCGGGGAGGGGTTTGCCCTTCCTCCTCCCCCCTCCCCCTGGGTCTGGAGGGGAGTGGTCGCGAGGCGTTAGAGCGTCCAAGATGGCCTCGGCGAGGGAACCAACATCATTGACTTGACCACGTTTTTGGTCGCATTTTGACCTTCTGGGGGGGGGCTGCGGTCCCTCGTTTGATCGATCTCCCCCAAGATGGCCCCAAAATTGCCCGCGAGGATCCCAAGGGTGCCCCAAGACGGTCCCAAGAGGTGCCCAGGAGGCCCCAAGAGGCCCCCAAGAGGCCCCCGAGGGGCTCCCACGCGACCCCCAAGAGGCCCCAAGAGGTCCACCAGGGGCACCCAAGACGCCCCAAGACTCCTCGGCGAGAAGACCAAAACCACTAATTGTATGAATGTTTTGGTCCCGTTTGGGCTTCCTGGGTGTGGGAGGGGATACCTCATTGAGCAGCCCCCCCTACTTTGATCGATCTCCTCTAACATGGCCCCACGATGGCCCCCGACCCCCCCAAGGGTGCCCCAAGACGGCCCCAACAGGTGCCCTGGAGCCCCCAAGAGGCCCCCACCCCGAAGAGGCCCCAAAAGGTCACCCAGAGGCAACCGAAACGCCCCGAGAGGCCTCGGCGAGAAAATCCAAATCAGTGATGGTACACAGGCGCCGCAATTTGGGCGCGTGGTGTGCGACATGCGCGCGACAGGCGCAACGAATATGCGCGGAGTACCTCAGAGACATCAGCTGAAATACGCGCGTTGGTAAAATGGCACGGGCTGCGTGTGCAATGACGATAAAACAGCTCGCACGCTTCACGGGCAGCTGTCGGCCCCATTCCCGAGGCCAGAACGCACGTGCAACGGCGCCCACTTCGGACACCACCTCGTCGAGGCTGTGCTGTTGCTTCCTGCCGTGGGCAAGACCTGAGCGTTGGGACGATGGCCGTGCTGCTCTCGGAGCAGCCCGCACGCGCGTGACGACAGCTTGCGGTCAGCAGCGAGAGCGGGCGTCAACCAGATCGGCTAGCCGACGGGCAGCGCTGGGATATATGGGCACGCCGAGGCGGCCAGAAAAGAAGCTGGCGGCCGCAGAGGAGGAAAGCAGGGGGGAGGCACCAGACTGAAGGGGCCCCAGAACACACAAATAAATACACACAAATAAAAGGATTCGCCACATCTTCCCATATTTTCTGGGTTTTTGTCTCCCCCCCCACTTCCCATAGTTTCCCATATTTTCTGGAGAGTCGACGATTAATTGTGTCTGTGTGTTTTTTCCTCTCCTGAGAGGAGGAAAGCAGGGGGGAGGCACCAGACAAAGAGCCTACGCCTTGAAGAGCGCGCGGGCTGCCTCAGGCACAGGAAACCAGAGTGCCCCCCAGGTCGACATGTGTGCAAACACAGTGCATCAAGGACGAACAGCTGGCAAGGGTTGCGCGTTGACCACCACCTCGGAAGGAGAACAGCCGAACAGACAAGCAAGCAAACAGCATGAATAAACGTCGCGTACTTCCTCCCCCGGCGATGTGAAACACCACCTGAGCCTAGGTACGCTAGCGGGGGACGCAAGAATACGTTGCGCCCGCACCCGCGGAACGCGCCCAGACCAGCCGTAGAATACCAGATGAGGGGCAGGCTGAAGCAAGAAACGGGAAACAAGGCGTGAGAGAGAGAAACGAAACGTGCAGCAACAACGATGCCGTGTGTGCTTTGACATCCCAAAACAGGGAAGCGCGACCGACAGTCAGCGGGAAGCATGCCGAAGGCTGGAATTGCAAGTCGCAGACCTGCGCAACTACGCTACAGGGAAGATCCTGCGATGGCCGAAGCCAACCATCATGTGAGAAGGAATGGCCGAAGAACCGACAAACAACAAATTCGCGCAATCCCAAGGCGCTGCAGCAATAAGCGCATGCACTTGTCCCTCCTCCAGCGAAGTGGCGGCACCGTCGCGGGCGCGAGTAACGGAGGCGAGCTGCCGCGTAGAGTACCACCAGGCGTTGCAGGTGGGGGGCAGCGCAGGACGAGTCGGCGTGCAGAGCAGCAGCACTAAGATCTAAGAACAACCACGCACTTTTTGCTTCGCGGCCAATTTACTGAACACAGCGAGAGCAAAACACGGGACGCGGTTGAGTAATTGCAAACACACCACGCACACAGACACACAATGCGAGATGTGTCGGCCGCAAGTGTCCGCAAGTCACAACGAACACGAGACAAACTCACTACACACCAACACTCCACAATGAGAGGCTTCCAGGATGAACCCTGCAAGACTGAAGTCTCACTTGTGACCTTGGTTGCATGAGACACTCGGACTGCTCAGATCACAAACCGAAGTAATCACATCATCTGGCCGGCTGACCTGCAAAAGAAGATTGCGGTGGTCGTCGGCATGCGCACCACCTGGAGGCAACGGTCATGGAACACTACACGCTGGTATCATGGGGCGTTGGGAACTCATACCTCTCATGCCTTGGCTTAACTCGCACCTGCTATCTGAATCAAGACTTCCGTCCTTTGGAAGCCATCACCATCTATCATGCATGGTTGCTCTCTTCACATCACCCCGCACTCTATGTGCTTTCCCTTCCTTCTATGACATCATCCATCCTACATGCTCCATCCTCGATCCCCCCTTGTTCACGACCCCCCTCTGCCTCAGCCCTCATGCTTGTGCTGCTCCCCCTGCTGCTGCAGCTGTCCCGCCTCCCTCGGTGCTCAACATGTCTTCGGTACCTTTCCGTCCTTGTCTCCACCGTCCGTCCTCCATCCCCCCTGCTCTCCATCACCCACCTTTCCCTCTCCACTCTTCACCCTCCATCAGCGGGCGAACAACTGGGGCGCCTGTCCCAGGGCGGCTGGAAAGTTTATACCCTGACGTGCCAGCGTAGGGGTATACATTTTTTAGCCGCCCTGGGACAAGCGCCCCCGACGGCGAACACAAATAAGTATGCCGTTCTTCGCCCCGTTCACTCCAGCCCGCCCTCCCCCGCTCCTCACCCCGCCACCCGTCACCCACCCCACCGCCGAGGGTCACGACCAGAGCCTGCGACCCCGCGAGGGCCCCAGAGCGGCAAAAGTCAAGCCTGCCCGACCCGCGCGAGGGCCCCAGAGCCGCCTGGCTGGAAACGGTATAGCACCTCGACCATCTCCCACAGGACCGTCGTGTCGTCCCTGCCTCCTCCTCCTCCTCCTCCTCCTCCTCCTCCTCCTCCTCCTCCTCCTCCTCCTCATCCTCAGCCTGTTGCTCCACCGCGTCCTCCGCCTCCTCCCCTCTCTCCTGCTCTTCCTCCCCTCCCCTCCTCCTCCTTCTCGTCGTCGTCGTCTTCTTCAGGGTCGGCGGCACTGGCCGTAAGGCCTTTACAAGATGGCACGTCGACCAGCTCCCCCGGGACCGTCGTGGCGTCCGGGAGCCATCTTCGGACGGCCCCGCGGCCAAAAGACGGCCGGCACGCCCGCGGTGGGTGCCGAGACAGCGAGCGCACGATGCCAAACAGCAATCGTCGTCCGAAGCCAACCGCGACCGCTGTTGGGATGGCTCCCTTCTCATCCCAGGTGAACCACCTCCGCGGCAACATTGACAGCGAGCCCAATTCAAACTGGGCGGGGGCTG